GCCTGCCTGTCTGACTGACTGACTGACTGACTGACTGACTGACTGACTGACTGACTGAGAGGGGTTGTCCCGCTCTGAGTCCCTGCGGAAAAGCACGTTTTACTGGCCTCTCTGGGTTAGCATCTTGGAACCATGCTGATCTGTGGCTAGGATCTGGGATCTGCAGCCTTCACTCCTGGCTGCCCCATATGGGACGAGCCTAAAAGCAAATAATCAGCCTCTTGAACTGGAGCAACCTTCCCCTGGTTGCATGGGTGACATCCCACGGAGGGAATTAGAGCGAGGCCATTGAGAGTGGCTAGTTGTGGGTCAGAAGCTGGGGGCGCTCACTTTGCTCAAGGCTGGTCTCGAGACCTCTTTCGGAGCTGCTTTCGGGGAGTAGGAGTGACAGGGAGAAAGAGGGTGCTGAACATAAACCCCGCAGGTCCCCAGTTCTGTCTCGTCTTGGTCTCTGGATGGAGTTGTGACTGCTGTGTTTTCGTTTGGTTGCTCTGTTTACCCTGTTTAATATCTCTTTGCACATCTGGAAGCCTAGTCCCTGCCCTGTCCAGCTGCTTGTTAGGGGAAATTCAGGGGACCTCCTGTTCTAAGGGAGAGGCTGTTAGGAGGTGCCTGTTTTGGTCCCCTATGTTTTTTCTTTCCTGGCAGCTCGGAAGCTCCAACAAAAGCGAGCCCAGCTGCTGGAGGAGGAGGAGGAGGAGGAGGAAGACGAGGAGGTGGAGCGAAGCAAGACCCCCCCAGACCTGACTGTCTCATCCAGCATCTTCATCGAAGGCATTGAGTACAGAGTGGAGAGACAGAATGGGAATAATCTCTCCACAACGGCTTGGTGAGCTCCCTAAGTCAGCTTTCCAGCTTCTGTCCCAGAAGCACAGCGGGGTCAGCCCCACGAGGTCAGTCAGGTCGGGGAAGTGACCCCACAGGAAGGGTGGAACTCTCTTTTGCTGAGATAGGCCATGACGACAGAATCTGGCAAGGTTGCTTCCCTTCTGTGCCCCAGGGAGTCAGGGAGGTGCCACCCAAGCCTCTTCCTAACACCTTCCCCTTTCCCGGCACTTCAGGAAAGCGTTTCTGGAACCCGTTCTCTAATATTCCCTTCGAGGCCAAAGCTCTGGGGGAAGTGCTGCAGGATGGGTGCAACCCCCTCTTCCAGACTGCTCTGGCACAGGTGGCTGGCACCAGCCTCCTTGGCATGGAGAGTGGCCACACAAGCCCTGGGACTTGGCCAAAAGCAGCTGGACCCAGATCCCTACAGCAGTCGGGAAGGTGCATGCGAGAGGCCCCGGGGTTAGGTTAGGGTTAACGCTGGCTTCTGGGAGCCCAGCAGTGGGTGTGTTTGAGTCCCCTTCAGTGCCTGTTGGGGGGCATCCTGGAAACATTTTCTGGGCTTGCATTACTGTTGGGGCGTTGCCCAAGATACCCTCTTGGGACCCTGACCGTGGCTGGCCCTCCTTTGCACCTTTACAGGTTCCCAGATCCCAACAGACACAATGGCTCCCTCAGAAGCTCTGCGGAGAGCTTGACCCCCGAGCAGCAGCCCCCTTCCCCTGCTGGGTAAGCGAGGGGAGGGGGAGGGGGAGGGGGGGGAGGAGGAGGAGGAGGAGGAGGAGGAGGAGGAGGAG